GCAGGATGAGAGAAGGACAAGAGGAGGACAACAGCAGGACAAGAGAAAACAAGAGGAGCACAAGACCTGGCCAGTTCAGGGGCGCGAGGAAACTGCTTGAGGAAAAAGAATGATTATGCAGTGACAGTGAAATTGGTGATTGTTCCAATCCTGACAACGCTGCGGTTAAATATGAAGATAATGTTGCGCACTTGGTGGATGTTAATATGAACATCTATGAACCGATTACCGTCCCCCCACCCCAATCCAAACACAAGGCTGTGGTGATGGCCATGTTGCGCACGCAATGATGATGTTGCGCAAGCAATGGCAATGATGTGAACGTGATGTTGTGAAGGTGATGACAAGAATACAGTGAAGTGGGCACGACAGCAAACGACTCAATCCACAAAAAACGTGTTCAGTCCATAGGCACAAGCGACCCCGGTTGCACCCGCCTCCCCTTCAACCCGCCCTCCTACCAGATTCCCGCGGGATGTCATCGCATGACATCGCAAATCCAAAATCTCCGCGAAAGATAAAAATCGATGATTGAAAGACTGTGCCTTCCGCGGGTCGTTCCTCTATCGCAAACGAAGTCCCTTTGGGCCCACCTTCTTTTTCACCCAATCCCGCACCGAAGTGATGCGTTGTGTCGGCTCGGGTGGTCTGGAAGATCAGCTGCTAGATAAGCAGCTTAAGTTTTAGCTTGGGGCATTTTCGGCTCTAGACCTCGGCTTTTGAGGGGGCTTTTAATATGGATAAAAATCGACATCGTGTGTATGATTGTCCGTGTGGCTTCGGAGCTAAGCAGTCGCGATCTCGGCGTTGCAGCCCGAGAGAAACTGCATTATTGACATCGTAGGAATGCTCGTCCGTGTGTCCTGCCCGACCAAGACAGACAGACTTACAGACCGAGACAGACAAACCGAGACAGAGACAGACCGACCGAGACAGACAGACAGAGACAGACCGACGAGACAGACAGACGCACACTCTCCATGCGGGCGGCTTCGAGCGGGAAGTGCTGTGAATTAAAAAGTAAAATCCGCCCGATGTTGGGTCCGGCCCAATCACGACGAAGATCTCATAGGGCACGAAGCACGAGATGAAGAGCAAAAGCTTCACCACAATGTTCGAGGACAAGAACGCGATGAGCACCGGGCGCCGTCCCGTCGTGTCGATGATTTGCCCCGCCACGAAGACGGCAAAGAGCCCGAAGAAGGCCGCGATCCAGCCGTTGAGGCCATTGATTCGGGTGGTTTGTCCCAGTACCACATCTTTGTTCATGCATTTCGCTGACAAGCTCCAGGCTGGAGAAAACCGATCCATGGGCATGCAAATACCTGGGGGTTTTTGGGTGGTTTTGGGATTTGAGGTGATTGCTGAGAATTCTGACCCAAAACATCCCCAACATCCAAAGTCACGGCGTTTTTTGCCCTGCCTTCCGGTCCAATTGCTGCATCTTTGATGTGAAAACTGGCTGGTAGATGGGCTGTGATGTTGGACAAACTCTCAGGGCCGACCTGAAAGGGCTTCTGCTTCGGATGAGAAAGACACAAGTGGCACAGGTCCGCGGCTGTTGAGCTGCAGATGGTCCAACACTGAGACGTTCGGTTCCCTTCAGCAACTGAGGCTGAAACCCAGTGAGAGCCCACTGGACAAGGAGGCTTAGGTCGTGGGCAAGAAATGTTGGAATTCACATACGCATTGAATGGATCCCCAGAGAAGTAGGCGTAGAACCTCACCAGTCGTGGCAGCCAAGACCATGGAATGGCGCTGTTCAAATACAAAACTATTTTTGTTCGGCAGACGTCGAATCCCTTTCAAGCGTTCAAGGCGGCATTGAAGGTCAGTCAGCATCAAATGTCTGGTTTAGGACATATGATATGCAAGTACAGTAATATAACTATATATATATATAACTATATATTATATATGTAAAAAGGACCTCTGACGATGCTCACAAAGTCAACAAACCCAACCAGCAGGTCCCGTGCCATGATGTCTTTCGACCTCCCACGACTCCGGCGCTCTTTCCGCTTCACGCTAAGGTGCTGCTGCCAAAAGGAGAAGAGCAAGATCCGAGGCATCAATCGAATAGCCTCGTTTTGCACACTCAACCGTGGGTGAACCATTGAAACGATGAAAAGCAGGTTGGAGCACCCACACTACAATCAATGTTGCAGCTGATGCCACACAAACGCACATGCATATGTAGCATATGTTTTTCATTGTGTGTGTGCATTTGTAAATGAAGCTGATGCGTGATGATTGCAAATGCAAAACAAAACTTAAGGGTTGCCTTTTTGGAGTCCCATCCAGTGATTTGTCAAACAGGAATGATTGCTTTCAAATTTTCAAAGGTTGAGAGATGTCTGTCAATTTTCATCTGAGAGCAGAACCTTCAGCAGACCTCCACTGCCCGCCAGCTTGCTATGAGAAAACTTGAGACCGCTGTGCAAATCATCCGCATCCTCAGCTCGAAGTCTGCCGTGACCGCTCGAGTGGACCCAATCACTCACACATTCTTAGCGTGGCGCAGGTTGGACCAGTGAGCTGGAGGCAAAGCGTGCTAAGACCTGATTGAACATCTCATGCTCAATCATGTTCAATCCACATTCCCACATGCATACAATTCTTTTCACATCTCAAAAGGATGTCCGAACCCCACTCCACCCCGACCCCATGAACATCCAAGAAAAGCAGTGATGTCCAGCTCGCTGTCGATCTCTTAGGCCGCCACCCTCTCCGAGCCACCTAAGAGACAGCAGGCCGTCGAGCCGTTGACCCAGCACGACGCACGGTCCCTTCGTCCCGCCATGCGAATCACCAAAACGGTCGGCACCGAACCACCAAAACGTCCACACGCCGAGGGCCGAAGCGAAACGAAACGCACGCCATGGCGTCCAGCGCGTGTCCATCGCGTCCGGGTTACACGCGTTCACGGCGGGCGAAAGGCCAAGCGGCGTGCGGAACCTTTGATGGAATCAAAGGTGGCACCCTGCTGGGATCCAGTGCCTGAGTTGGCAAAAAGTAAACTCCGAAAAAGAAGAGAACCAAGAACTCCCTCTCATCCCACCGCAAACTCGATGAATGGGTTGAATGGAAAACGTACAGGAATCCATGGTTTTCACCCCCTAAACTATAGGTTTCCTCTGGATGTTCCCTTACGCCAACTCTGGGACAAACCCCTTCATTCATATCTTTCCATTTCGAGAAGCCGGATGGAACTGCGATTCACGTCCAAGTGGCGGGACTTCTGTGAAAGGAAGTTGGCCATGGCGGCGGGTAGTGGAGTGGAGGCGCCGTCGAAAACAAGGGCTTCGTTGCAAAGCGTCAGTCAGATTGTTCGGGCTTCATGTGTTTTGAAGCAACTCGGATGGTGCGAGCAAAAAGAGAAGAATCTTTCTTGCTAGTGGTTGTGATGGCTAAGCCATGCTTAAGGCCAGTGTCGGCGTGCCTTCTTCATGTCTTTCACCGTTCTTCCCTTCGATCTGAGATGCCGAGAAACTCTTTCCCTGGTGACTCGGAAAGGGTTTGTGTTTTCGTGCGTGTCTTAAAGAGTTCGAGTTAGATTGACCTGCTCTCAGGTGTGGGGGAGGGTTTTTTGTTTCACTTATATGTTCACCCTACACCATGGTCCTTGACAACAACAATGATGTCCTTTTGCAGATGTTTGAGAGGTCGATTTGGTACCATATACCTATTGGTTGTTCACTTGAGGGTATCCCCGCTGTTGACTTATCAATCAACCAACCAATAGTGCAAGGCCATCTATGGACAACGCCCTTGGTTGCCAATCACATGGATGGCTCGTTCACCTTCACTGCGTCTCAGACCGTGTCAGCCGAGAAAAAAGGCGCCTGTGGCGCACCAGCTTGCTGCTCCAAGAAGATTCAAACCATAGGAGACGAAGAGTTCCTTGCTGCGTGATGACGCAAGTGAAACGAAAGAACCACATGCGCTGCTTCCCTAACAAAGCATGGTGCAAAACTCGGGGGAACCACATCCAATGTTGGGCAAGGACGCTACGAACCGGGCTCCTGGCCGTACTACGAGGAGCGATCGGACGCGACTCGAACGGGGCGAAACTGGCATCGCGAACTGAACGGAGCGATCGGACGCTACTGGGGTTTGACATGGGAGTGGTCACTTGGCACAACCCACAGAACCACCGGACACACGCGGATCACCAGCCAAGCTGCATGGCGCCCCTTCACATTGGGCCACTCGCGTAGCCAAAGCACCAAAAGTGCGAAGAGCCTTGGTGTTCGCGACCAGAAACACTCCTGTGAGCTCAGAAGCGGATCAAAACAGATCTCCAAATAGATCGAAAAAGTAAAAAGCATGTAAAACCCCTTTCAACATGTCTTGGAAAACCGTGCCACGATCTACTGAAAGTGATCACTGAACATGTTTCGTTGGACCTGGTGGAGCGCCAACGAGTGTTTCTCGGTTCCTTTTTCCCGACGATCTGGTGGCCTCGCGTCGGTATTCCACTTGGTCTAGACGTCTGAAGACGATCTGCCGAGACACTCAATGCTCAGAAGCAGATCGGTGAATGAGTTGCTTGGACGAGCCCCAAGGGCCAAGGACATGGCTGTCTTCGTATGCGGTCTTCGAAGAGGACAGTTTCAGTCTCAAAGAAAACAGACCTCACAGGCCAATCCCTGCACATCCCTTTTCTCAGAGGCATGATCTTGTATCGATGCCTTATGCATGCAACCTCTTCAACTTGTGGCAAAGTGGGGGGAAAACATGCCAAGCAAGGTTAGGAGGCAAAGCTGTTGGAGCCAGAACAGCCAAAGCCCGAGAACAAAAACAAGTCGACCGAAGAATTCGATTTGGAGACTGAAAAGTCGTGCACTTGCTCGACCGACTTGGCACAACCGAAGTGTACTTGGGCGACTCATCACCACATACAATTGCGGAGTTGGTGCTCCATGTCCACCTCCAAGCAACCCTAGACAAAAGACATCTATAGAGCATCCATAGACATCTGGAACTGAGAGCCCGTCACGCTGAAGAGCATTCCCTCAGGAAGGCACTGGAAGCTGGTCCAATCAAACATGTCTGTGCCGTCCGCAGTCCCAGCGGCCTGGTTTTCTTCGCACACGACACGCAAAATGATACGCGCCGCATGTAAGACCACCACGTGCAGGGCAGGATCACATGATAGCCCACGGTGCAGCCACAGCCACACTGAACGTCCTGCTGGATGGATGGCTCGGCAAATGTCTGAGCAACGCAACGACTCCACAACGACTCAGCTGGAGGCTTTGGCCAATAAGAAGTGGGACAAGATGTAGAATCAGATCGAAAACAAGAACCTTCGTCCACTCATGTCCACCCTCTCACTGCTGGTGAAGCCATGACGTCTCCTACCCAAGTGAACTTGCATCCCGCATCATCTCTTCAAAAACAGCAGCAAGCACCCAACTCTGCAAAAGCCGCACGGTCCCTCACGCGGCAGTGGCACATGCCATGTTCTCTTTCTTCCACCGCCTCGGTTCGGCGTTTCGGACCACCGCGATTCGGACGGACCAGCGAAGGACGAAGGACCAGCGAGCGCCTCCTTCACCATGGGTCGGAAATCGGTGGAGAACAGGGAGACCGCAGCATTGCACACCAGCCGCACGCCTCAGTTCCGACGAGGCGTTCGGCAGCAAGCCCAACTTGAGTTAGATTCTGCGTCGAATTGGCTTTCGTGTAAGTATCTCGCGTGCGCATAGCAGCATATGTATTGTGGTTTCTGTAACTGTAACATAGTTTTCCAGAAGGGCGGTGCAAGTACAAACTGTGTTCCTGGCGCATACCCCTCTGGCAAAGGAGCTGGGTACAATGTTGACAGCTAAGGTCCAGCACAGTCTCCTGGCGCATACCCCTTTGGCTATCAGTTCATTCACCAGTTATAGAACCCCCCGCCAACTCAGAGTCCCTCTCGGACGGTCAAGGATCGAATGCCACGGAAAAGGAGAGCGTCTCCGCCGAGGAACGGAGGAGACGAAGGCCCCTCTGAAGGCCCCTCAGGTCGCTCGAACGGCGTCAGCCCTCTTTTTGAGAGAAAACCCACATCGAATCAGAATCGAATAGAAGAAGAAATGCACAGTTTCGGACTGTCCTCAGCTTCATCTTCCGTCAAATCCTCCTCTTCGTTGTTCTCAGGAGCCTCGTTGTCCCAACAACACAAGATGAGCGGAAGACTCATCAGTTCATTCATTCATTCATTCATTCATTCATTCACCGGCCTCCGCATGTGGCAAGGATCCTGGCTGGATCTCCTGCTATGCTTGCACAAGACAATTGGTCAACAACACTAGTCATTAATAAACGAGAACACAAGTAACGATCACTTGGTTGATCTGTATCTGCAGAAGGAACATGTGCAGCGAATACAACGCATTCGTCACGAGGTATCTATTCACTTGCGGGGGCTAAAAAAAATAGACATCAAAACTCGAGCATACCCACTTAGTCTTCCAATTGAACAAAACCCAGCTGGACTGGTCGGACGAGCGATTTGAACACTGCTTCCAAATTGTTCAAGCCTCACTTAAAATGAAGCTTGTGTCACAACAACATGCGACACGCGTCATCAAAAGAACCGAACACAAATTGGCCTTCCATATCTTGATCTGTTTGCAAAGGTCATCTGAATGCGCCTCTTGAGCTTCTCGCGCACTCTCCTCGTAGGAATGCCAGCATGAGGGTAACTCCCCCAAATCTCTTGGCATCTAAAGTAACTACAGTATTGCTTTTGAGGGATTTCAAGCCAGGTTTCGGTGTTTTCGCAGCTTCTTGGGGATTGAAAGGTCGGCTGACTCAACCGGAAATCCAGGGATGAGACAATCCAAAATGAAGTGTTATGTCCGATGCCTCCGTTGCGTAGGGAGGCTCAGCACCACTCGGCATGATGATGGCCAAGAAGGCAACAGTGGCATGTGGATTGAATTAAGTATCATAGAGATCTGAGATGCCTGCTAAGATATCTAGGATATTCCATTTACGTACGCAATCTTCCCAAAAAAATACAGACAAAGGCGGGTGTGTATTTCTACTCGCTCCAGATCCGTGTGATTTTGCTGCAAACATAAGAAGCAGTGCAGTGCAAATGTAAACGTTCTTGGACACCAAAAGAAGCGATGAGGGACCATCGAGCCAAGGCTTCCCATCATGCCGAGGGCGTCCGCAGAGTGGTCCATTGCGGAAAATGGTCAAGGCGTCATCTTTTTGAACAGTTGGAGCATGGAAAAAACCAAAGCCACTGAAGGTCTCGGGTCCCTTTGGAGAAGGTGACAGTGCTTCAAGATATCTGGTTCAACATCACCATGCTCCCTCTCTGACATTACTTGGCTCGCGCTCCTTCTTTTTTCATCAGACGTCTGCGAACAATTTTTTTTGCACGGGTGGAGACGCCATGTGTGCAGAGGTTGCACAGGTCATCTTATGCTAGTAAAGAGAATTACAATCCAGGTTGCAGTAGAAGAAACACCAAGCACCGACAGAGAAGAACCAAAACAACCAAACCCCCAAACAACACAGCAACCAAAACAAAAACAAACAAAAACAACCCAAAAACCGGCCCCCAGGAACCAACTGCAACCTGGTGCGCAACTCAACCGGCCATGTCAGCCAAAATGAGAGAAGGTGAGACCGGGGCGATGTATTCAGCCTTTGCACTCAGTACGTCATTACCACAAAGAGGTGTTGATCAGCATTCCAGCGACATTTTTTTTGCATGAGTGCGGACGCCATGTGTGCGGTGTGCACAGGTCATCATAAGAAGGGTGGAAACTCTGCATGTTTGAGAGGGCAACCACCAAGCAAAGGAGACAAAAGCACAACAAACAAACCAACCCCCAACACAAACCAACCAAAACACACCCAAACAAATTTCTCAGAGTTTCGCGCTGTACTCAAGGGTGAAACAGGTGAAACTTGAGAGACACTACTACCAGCTACACGGGCCTTGAATTCTCGAAATCTTCAAAGCTTCAGCTGCTTGTTCTTGCAAGGCGGTTAGAGACCTTCCAGCTGAAATGCAAAAGATGCCTATCCACGGGCGACCTTTGGGGTGCTCCAGAGGCACGACGGCCCTTGTCATAGTAGGGCCGGAAGTAGTTGTAGCTGGCTTCAAATGGGATGATAGTGTCTGAGGGCGACACCGAATCCAGCAATCATTGCCTTACTCATTTGCAATGTGGTTCAGGCCTTGGAAAACAGTCAGCAGCTGGTCGCAATCATTACACAAATTTGCAAAGTCAGAAGAACTGTGGCCGATATTGGGGGCATATGCTTTGCCCAGCACAAATCCACAGACGTAAAAGACCACGACATGATGTCCATTCTGAGCTGGAAATGATTTTGCCACACGTGCCCACTTTTGCGCGCAACAAGTGAGCTGACCCGGTTGCGAGCCTTAGCTCCTGATTGGTGTTCTGCACGCGCCGGTAGAGTAGTACGATTGGCGCCCAGGTGAGAACCTTAGTTCCTTGCCTGGTGGGAGTCTGCACTCTGCCAACCTTGTACAAAGTAAGCACATAGTACCATGCTAGACTTTACATGTTTCACCGTGTTTCACAAGGGCCATGCATGAAGGTGGATCTTGGCACCTGAACGCCGGAACACTAATTTTGTCCATCCTTGCCTGTACTCTCGCACACTTCCCACGCTCCTGTCGGCCTTGCTGTTAAGGAGTATGCTGGACGTGTGCATTTCCCCTCCCTCTGCTGAGGGGGGTCCTGCTCACGGACTTGCTTAGCTTAGCACACCTCCAGGGTGTGTAGGCTTTGAAGGTTGTGCAAGTTGGTCAATGTAACACTAATGGGTTATTCGCGGTTGGCACCGCCAATTTCTTAGCGTTCGAATGAGCAATCGCAGTATGGCTCGAGCGTGATGGCTGGCTTGGGTGTTGCAGGTCGCGTGGACTCAACCTAGGTCTGACAGGCGTCTCTCTCTCAATGAGGTCAACTGCAGCTACTCGGCAACGCGGCTCCTATGGGCCTAAGCCAAGTTCGTCTCGCAGCCTAGATCTGGGATCATGTGCAACCACTGCGGCCATCGCGTCGCAGGGCAGAGCGCGAATGCATTCTCCTCAGCATACGTCCCTCTCCAAGTAGTTCTTCGGCCTGGCATTTTCGTGATTCTCCTGAATACCGTGCAGTCGAGGAAAGCCCTACTAGCAATATAGTGCATTGAGGGTGGGGTGGCCAGATCCTGCAACGCAGCACAGTTCATGAAGGCCTTCACAGGAATGGTGTGTACGGTGTACGGAAGTCGGACTACTTGGAGCCTGATGCAGTGCACAAACGTGAACTCTCGAATGTCAGTGACGCTGGTGTCCGAGATGTCCACCGAGGTGAGCAACTTGCAACTGTCACAGGCGTGGGCACCAAGCGCGGAGAAGTCTCGGGGCACTTGAAGCTCTTATTTTTATTCCTGTGAAGCTGAAGCACCCCGTCGGTAGTTCTCTACCTGGCTCTATCATTGGCTCCCCTATGTTATACACATCCGAGAGGATTGTGATGGCAGCTAGGTTGATGCAGTCCCAAAATCTCAAAAACAAGCACTTGAAAATGATAACCGTCCACATAATACAGAGAAATCCACAACTGCGGCTGTGGGACACTCTTAAGGGACACTCTTGTGAGACACTCTTGTGGGACACTCTTGTAGGAAACTCTTGTCGGACACTCTTACGTGACACTCTTGTGGGACACTCTAGTGGGACACTCGGGACGCTCTTGTGGCGCGCTCTTGTGGTCTTGTGGGACACTGTTGCGGGACGCTCTCGTGGGACACTCTTACGTGACACTCTTGTAGGACACTCTTGTGGAACACTCTGGTAGGACACTCTTGTGGGCCACTCTTACGGGACACTCTGGTAGCACACTCGTGTAGGACACTCTTGTGGGACACACTTGTGAGACCCTCTTGTGGGACACTCTATAAGGACACTCTTGTGGGACACTCTTGTGGGACACTCTTGTAGGACACTCTTGGGGGACACTCTTGCGGGACACTCTTGTAGGAAACTGCAGGGGGACACTCTTATAGGACACTCTTGTGGGACACTCTTAAGGGACACTCTTGTGAGACACTCTTGTGGGACACTCTTGTGGGACACTCATACGGGACACTCTTGTTTCGGGGATGCCATTTGCTTCACAGCATAACGGTGCCAGGATGTCTTGATTTTGGATACAAAGCTTTTGCAGACTGTTGCTCTCTACAATGGGTTCATGCCAATGGAGGAGGAGTCAACCATCTTGGAAGCGCCACCAAGCTTGGGCACTACCTTTTCGTTGACAATGCCATTGTTTCTTTCGTGCCGCGGATCTGCCAGAACCTTTACGCCAGTGCTTGATTTGAATGCAAAACAAAGATCCTTCATGATGAAGACGGAGCTTGGTGGTGAAGTCCCCAGCGCATGCTGCCTTGGTGGTGGAGTCCCCAGCGCATGATGTCCAACAGCGTGCCGGAGAGTGAAAAAGATAATCTAACCGGCTGTGTCTCTTTTTATACACAGTGGTTTGACGTATGTGTTTGCATTCGGGTTCGTGGGCTCCATCTTGTTTCATTTTTTCACAACTATTCTGTAAAACAAAAAACGATGGTTTTAAACATATGAAATCATAACATTGTCCGCGCATACGATTTTCGGTTTTTTTCATTTTTTCATGTTTTGGATGACAATTTATGAACATGTCTTTCTTCCCGAAGGGTCAATTTCCTTCATGTTTATTGATTTCACAAAATGACCATAATTGATGCACTTGGTTTTTACCAGACTTGTCAGGTCTGACTACTGGTCCTTGTAATCGTTAATCTTTCCACTTCCCTTCCTGATATTGAAAACGGATGCGCTCCTTTTAGCGCTCACAGTTCGAGCCTGGATATGTCGTGATGGAACCTGTGTGCATCCAACCAACATGTGTCATGTGCTACTCGATGGAATTTGTTGGAATCCTGTCACCCCCCTGATGGTGGATTGGATGCACATTGCGCATGGTCTAAATGCTCTCGTGGCATGACCTTGAATGCGTCCACATGAATGATGGTGGTAGCGCTGACCACTTGTTGTGATCAGCCACTCCTGTCTCTCCAAAGTGAAACATACGTGATCCAGTTGGTCTCTGGCCACCTGTCGTGCAGCAATGGCTTCTTGTCGCAGCTCATCGTTGCTTGCCTTCCACAATTCCATTGCACCCTTGACCTGACGTAGGTCTTCATTCAACCGCTCGATCTCCAAGTCCTTCTCACTGGGATCAACAGCCATTCGTTCTTTCTGTCTCAACACTTGGATGTAGTTCTCCCTCAATTCATCTCGCTCACCACGCAGATCAACATTCCTGTCTTGGTGTTCCAGGCACTGTTGCATCCACATGTCTCTTTCTTCCTTCAACTCTTTCACCCGTTCCTGCTGCTCTTCACAGCTTGCTTCAAGCTGGATGATCTTCCATTGCATTTCAATCTTCTCAGGATTAGCCTCGAATTCAATCTCTGAAGGCTGTGATGGTGCTCCTGCCTTAGTCTGCTTCCATTGCATCAGCTGTCGCACTTGCTTGTATGCCCACCGTGCCAAGCTCAAGGCTCCGACAGCTGACAACGCAACAACCGTAGAGAATGCACGTGTCCACCACAACTCATCATTACTCTCTGCATTGATTGCTGTCCCTGTGTTGTTGCTGCTTGTTGCACTGATCTCCTTTATCTCATGCCCTCGGCTTGTTTGCAAAAGTGCCATTGCAATAGACATTGCTACCTTTGCATTTCCGCCCAAAGTCTTTGACACCTTTCCGATGCTTTTCTTCATATCTTCCTTCTCCTTGATCTCATTGTATTCTTCACGACCAATCTTCTGGTCGTCCCCATCGATCATCTTGATCAAGAATTTCAGGCCCTTCATCCTGGCTTTGCTGAGGATACTGGTTCCAATGTCACTTGTAT